CCCCACTCGAAGCTCCATGGTTCAGTCGTGCCTGGTGGGAAGGGGGCCGTATGGGGCTGCTGCTCCGCCGGCTGTCAGGGGGCCAGGCGGCCGCAGCGGGAAGGATGACGGAGATTTATATCTATATAGATTTAGAAACAGTTATTTCAAAATACTTTTCATAAGGTTTTCTTGGGGCGGGAGGGTAGGGTGTATTTAGAGATTTTGCAAGCATAGTCAAGAGATTTCATATTCCCTTACCTTTCTTCTTATTCCCCCACCCATGAGCCAGTCTTTGATGCAAAAATCAATTAATTAATTGCTAATTAGAAGTGGTCTGTTTAATATTAGAATAATTATCTACATAATTTTTTAATCAACTATAAAACTTTTAAAATAGGTAGATGTCTTTATTTTAGGTGGGTGGACATTATATTTGAAGTGGTAGAAAAACTGGCTGCAGCCTGCATTCTTTCATGGCCCCAGGTTAAGTATTTTTGGTGGGAAGGAAAAAAAGTTCTTCCCTGGATTTGAGACTGTAACTTCTCCAGAGCTGTGATGTATTTTGAGGTGGACAAGAGCTTCATGCGCAGGCTAGACTCTTGGAGCAAGGGCTGTGTGACATTCGTTGTGCTCTCAATGGAGACTTGCTGCAAATGTGACAAGTAACTAACTTGACGCCTTTAAATTGCTTTCAGTGGATTTTTTTTTTCTGTAATGCTATGTTCTGTGCTTCTGAATGTACTGAAAAGGAGGGAATTGAAGGTAGTGTCAAACTGCTGTGAATGAAGATGTAAACAGAAGTATTCACAGTTGAAAGGAAGATTTGCAGCTCTGCATTTTGCATAATATTTACAAGAGTGCATAATTGTACAACTTGGTTTGGATGCGTATTAAACTGCACAGAACTCTCAAACACTTCCCCCCAGCTTCCCAGGGGCATTTGAGAGGGTACTGTTGGCACTGATACAAGTCATAAATGGTATTAATATGGACACACCATACCCTTAGCTTGTTACAAAAAAAATTATTTATTCGATATTTAAAAAATGAGAAATGAAAACTTTCTAAAATTTTGAACAGTTAGTTAAATAAACCTGCCCTCTAGCAATGCTGAGTGATTGCGGTTTTTAGTTACAGCATGCTGTTGTTTCTCTGTAAGAAGAGGTTTTGGGTTTTTTTACTTTCATGAAGTAATTCAAGCCTATGTTTGTCTGAATACTATATCTTTTCTTTTCGAATAATTAGTATGATTGTGTTGTAGTGTGTGGGGTGTTTGTCTCACAATTTATTTGTAAATGAAATAGTTTAGTCACATCACAGGACTCAACCCACTCCCGTGGGTTCATTGATGAGGGAAACAAATCATACACCTAGGCAGGAATCGTGGGTCTTGCCTGTGTCTGAGGACAATGATACATGGAACAGTAGCATGGCAGCATGGAAGGTCACATTTTAGTGAACCTTTCACATAGCATGTTTCCTAGGTCTAATGTGAATTGTTGTTACATTTTCCCGATGTTTTGGACATTTGTACCTGAGTTAATTCTCTTCTTTTTCCTTTCTTTCCTCTTTTTCCTTTTTTCCTTTTTTCTTTCTTAATCTGAGTTTAGACATGAAGTGTTTGAAGAAACAGCCATGTGCCTGCAAAGCTGCTAGAGAAACACATGATAACCAAAATGCTTATCTTGTGTGTTAGTATTGTTTGATAGGACATTATGAGTACCAGCTAAGTTTCTGGTTTTATCTCAGGAGTCTCTTGAGAGCCCGAGGATGTTTAATGGATGCACATGACATTCAGGATTGCCAAAGAACTCAGACTTTGAATTTGCCCATCTTAGAAACCTTTGAAATAGAGGAAAAGATAAATTTATAGGATAGGCTGTGATGAACCACCTTTAAAAACAACTGCTTGGTGTATATGACTGGAATTGTCTTGCCCTGAAGTGCGATGGTTGGATCACTCTTCACAGACTGGTGTTTCCTGCCCAGGATAACTCCACCACATACTACCTAATGCTCTGGAGAAAGAAGCTGAGAGCAAATTGTGCTTCCTGAATATGAAGAGTTAAGACAAAAGAATATAAGCTTATTTGTCTTGTAGAAATTGTGATTTCCAGTTGCTGATAGCTTATTGATGCCAAGAATTATTTTTCAAGTGCATTTGCCAGAAAAATGAGTTAAAATGGCACCCCAAGGTACAGACTTTCTCAGTCTTTTTTCTTGTTTGCATAGTGCAAATTTTTTTATTCTTAAACATAAGGCTGTGATTTCCTCAGAATTGAAGTGTAAGCAAGTTCAGAGCAGCTCATTATTTTAATGGACGATCCCCAAGGTAATACCAAGTTTTGTTGGACATTATTAGTTGGTTCTTAGAACAATGCCACGATGACTGGCTAGGGCTGGAGAGCAAAGGACTACTATGCTTTTGTGGTGTTTCATTTGGGACAGTTGACGTGGAGAAACAAAGTTGAGCAGCTAAAGAACCTGAAACAAAAGACAGGACCGTAAGGTCAACAAATCAGCATACTGCTTTTCTGGCTCCAGTGTCCCATGTAGGGATCCATCAGTTGCTTTCTTCCATGAGCTTGGATACAAGAGCTGAACTGCAGAGCATTTCACCACACAGTTTTTCTCATTAGAAATAGTACATTTGCAAAAATAAAACTCACAGTCTGCAGTGACATGGGATTGAAAAGTAGCTAGCTGAAGCTTAGAGTAAGACAGACAGATGTTATGTTGTTAGGAAAAAAAAAAAGTCTTTCAAAGAACTGATCATGGTGTTGGCCTTTCAGTGCAGTGAGAATTACTCTCTACCCGTTTTTAAAGTAATGTGATACTTCAGACGCCTGTGACACTACTGTGTGTGACAATGTAAATAGTGTCCCTCCGGCAACTTGCTCTGCTTGGTTCTGACATAGACAGCTGTTTGGAAAGACTGGGACATTTAACAGATGCTATGAAATTCTTTGCAAGTACAATTGGTAGATATTCTGGTGGTACAGAAACACAGAATTAGCTTTCAATGCAGTCCCTCTTCTGTATAAGTAATGTTGATCTTCAGAAGTTGATGATAAAGTGAAACACCTGTTCTATTTGTGTATTGTTACTTTGAGTCCGGTTAAAATAATAAAGAAATTAAACAAGGTCTTGACTAAATCCCATGGCCATTTACCTTTAAGTAATCAACTCTTTAGATCTGTTGCAGAAAATCCTGTTCAGGTATGACTTCAATATTCTCTATAGGAAAAAGTGTGTGTTCACAATGCTCGTGAGCCACCTAAATTGTGCTAGGTTGCAGAATACAGAAACAGAGTGCTTAAGGTTCCAGCGTGGCCAGTACAGAGGAGACAGGAACTCCGTGGGATGAGATTTGAACACTCTGATTTGCATGCCTAGAGTATATGGTGCAAAGTCCTTTTTACATATTTACTTCTTCACCTTTGTTTAGTGGCTGTCTTTTCTGTTGCACAAAGTATAAATTATGTGAATATTTTAAGTATTGTATCAATGTCATAGTAATTATGTTGCATTAAATTATCCTTTTGTGCCTACAAGTTGCTCTGAACTTTTGTGTAGTTTTGTTTCATTAAAAATGGAGTTTTATTGTTATCAGCACTTGGTACCTGTGTCTACATTAAAGTTCACTTTTCCCTATCTCCGAGTAAGAAAATTGTCTGTAAAAGATACCTTCGGCACATTTCTGCAAATCACTGTCTTGCAGACATGTCAAGTTTTCTACTAGGGTATTTCTGCTGCTGTTCACTTTTTAGTGTTAGTCCCCATGAGTGTAGTGCCAGATTCAGACATACAATGAATAGCCCATATCCAAATCTTAGTTTAGATAGTTTGACAGCTGTCAAATACAATTTTTTTTTTTCCCTACCTCAATGTTGCAACATATGCTGCTCTCCAGGGGAGACAAAAGCTTTCTGTAGATAACCTTATTGCTTGGCTTCTGTTGAGATGGCTGAGTGCTGCTGAACTGTGTCCTAAAAATCACTGTGGCACATAAGCCTGTACAGACACTCATGTGTCTGCTGTTGGGCTTTTCCAGAATCCTTAATGTGGTTGACAGAGCAAAAGTAGTTGAAATTTATGCCTTTGCCTGTTGTCACCATAGCTCCTCATTCACTGTTGAACTCACTGCTGTATCACCATTCTCCTCATTAAGTGTTGAATTACTTTAATAGGTTTTCCTGACACCATTTTTTCCCCAATTATGAAGTGTTTGCCTGACGGTTTGGAGATTAACTGAAAGACCTTATCATGCTCAGAAATGAGCGACTGCCATGACAGAAGCTGCAGGTTATGGCAAGGAGCTGCAGGGCTGTTGAAAAGAATGGGAAAAGGTTTAGATCCTAGTACAAGGTATTTCAGTGAGAAAATATAGGATTAGACTATGTGGCACTGGAAGCGTAGTAGTTCTGCCAGTACTCATTAATGGAGAGAAACTTTTCAGGGATGAAAATGCAATGAGTCAAATTCCTTGCTTATTTAAACAATGTTAATTTGATGTTTGTTGGATTTACGGTTGCTTTTTTCCTTTTTATTCTTTCAATGGTGATTATTTAGGTGAGAAAATTTAATCCATTGCTTTGATTGTTCTAAGTAGAAGGGTTATTTTCAGATACAAGTGTTAAATCTGTTTAATGATTCTTGTTTTAATTAGTTCTTATTATTCTCTTGAAAGGGGCTGACAATATCAGAAAGTACTGGAGTCGTTACTACCAAGGATCCCAAGGGGTAATATTTGTATTAGACAGTGCCTCCTCTGAAGATGATCTAGAAACTGCTAGGAATGAACTGCATTCTGCTCTCCAGCACCCACAGTTATGTACTTTGCCGTTTTTAATACTGGCCAATCATCAAGACAAGCCAGCAGCTCGCTCCGTACAAGAGGTATGTTAACGTATGTTGCCTGTTTGTATTTACTATCTGCACACCACTGATTCAGTACTATGTATTACCCTGACATCCTAGTTAAGGACTGGCCTCAGTTCCTCTTCACTGTAAGTACAAAGACCAAGAACAGTCCCAGCCCCTAAGAACTTAGTCCAGTGCACTCTGTACAGGCCTAGTTGTTCTGGAAAACAGACAAGTAATACTTGGACACAAACACAGTTCTCCTGCTTTCACCGTATTTTGCTTAAGGGAGAAAAGGCGTTTTTAAACTGCTCTTGTCAACAGCTGCTGGGACAGTGGTTTTTTGTTTAGCTTGGTTTTTTATTTGCTATTAGTTTTAATCTTACACTACCCCATTAGTCTGTTCTTTGCAACTGCTTGAAGCATTAGATTGCAGCCATAGGTTGTCTTTTATGTAAAAGCTTTTTTTCTGAACTGGTGTTTACTGACGTGAGGGCAGAATTGCAATTCCTGTTCTGAAGTCCCTAATTTTTTCTGATTTTCTTCTTTTAAGGAGTGATCTCTTTGCCTAATTTGTAGCAATCACATAGCAAATTAAATAGATGTTCTATTCAATGTACCTTTTTCTCTTAAATTTCGGAAAAATTAATCTTTCCTACATTCCTATCGTGTCACATACCTTTGAGGAAATTCTCAAAGTTACTGGTTCTTCATGACAAGCTCTGCCTACTCCTCTGAAGTTGTAGGAAGAAGTTAAAATTTGGTTGCGTCATTCTGTTCATAAATATCACTTAAAGGACTCTTCCTATTAAAGATTGTATGTGAAATCTCACGTTTGTTTGGAATGGTGTTTTTTATTACAGCAGAATGAAAACTGTTTCAGCACCTTACTGTGTTGCTGATTTGTATTTAAACTTGTTGCTTTCTTAGATGCACTCCTTTGTCTAAAGTACGATCTTTCTGAAGAATGCTAATTCAATTCAATGCAAATCTTACTGATCTGTAGGATAAAGGCTATTTGTACAGTATGGTTGTATGCATTTTCTGTGCTGCTTTATTGGTATTTATGCCTCCTTTCTTGGCCAAAATAAGTAGAGGATAAAAAGCTAAGCTTACTGTGTGTTAAAAAGGGGAAGTGTAAAATGTGACTGGAGTATAGTGATGTTTTTAATATGAGAGGAAGGAGTAAGCGAGAACTGTGTAAGCTACACTGTAAAATGTTTTATTAAATTGTAGGTCCTTTCCTCCAAGAATCCATGCTGGGGGGGGGGGGGGG